GTTTTATAATATAATATGTTTAAGAAAAACAGTTCATTTAAACTGTAACAATATTTCACAATATTACTGTTTTTACTGTATTTTTATCAAATAAATACAGCCTTGGTGAGCATAAGAGACTTCTTTGAAAAACATAAAAAATCTTACCATCCCCAAACTTTTGAATGGTATGAGTTTTAATAGGTTTTAAATTATAATAATAGCAGTTATTGTATATCAAATATAAAATCTAAAAAAGCTTTATTAAAATGTTTTGCTTAAAAGTGTGCTTGTAAAAATGCAGTGACAGTTTTAACTGTGCCTTATGAATTTTTGGGGGCCACTTTGTGCCTAAATATATATATATATTTATACAACAGTACGTTCTGGTTCTCAAATCTGATTGGTTGAGAACCGTGAGATATTGTACTGGTATCGCTACAGGAACGCCCTTTCACAATTTTGTATCACTCCGCTTGTTCTAGCCGGGTCTATGTTTTTTTTTATTATTCACTGAGCTAATCGTAGAGTACGTTAGTTATTATACGAAGAAACCTCATTATTTCTCACTAATAACCTAACTGAAGCAGCACATGCCCTTGATACGAATTCTAAAAGTGACGTATGTTTAACTGTCAACTTGAGCTTTGAATCTGTGGCGGAAGGAAGTAGTTCCGCACAAAAGAGGGTTTTATTAGGCACCGCTCTCGTACTCGAGTGATATTGCTCATATATATATTATTTTGACCAAAAATAAAACTGAATAGTAATTTAACAAAAGTGTCTCTCTCTCTCTTTCTTTTTATAGACATTAGTATGGCCGTGTCTTTTCTCACCATAGCCTGGGCCACGGTGGATTATCGTCGCTGTTTTCGGCGCTCTCTACCTAACCTTAAAGAGATGCCTTCTGGAATCCCAACAGCCGTATACTTGTCCTACAAAATATTTACCATAACCCCACGAATCCTCAGCCTCACGCTCTTCATCATGCTCTCCACCTTCAATACTGTAGGAATGGCCTGCATATGGCTTGTGGGAACCGTCTGGGCATTCGTGGAGGAGACCGACTTCTGCACTTCACGAGTCGTTGAATATCTTTATCGAACCATTGTTGGAGTTATTCTCCTTTTTACCTTCTTTAACATTAAAGGAGAAAACGCCAAAGTCCACATGACTGTGTATTACATTTTCAGTGTGGGTCAAAACCTTGCTGCACCCATTTTGTTGTTTCTGCTCAAACCGGAATCAGTAGGGACTGACTACTTCCTGCCCATTATATTTTTTATATTAGTGTCTCATTCAATGGGACTGGGTTTTCTGGGACTCTATTACAGCCTCCTGCACCCCCATCAACCTTGCAGAGAGAAAATCGCAGATGAAATAGATGGAATAGATCAAGTAGATGGGATGAACCACGAGCCAAAAACAACACGTTTTGAGCGTTTCTTGCGAATATAATAGTCTTGCTGATAAGCTAATGAACTTGATTAACAAAAAGGTGCATGTTTATATATATTTATGTTGGAATTGATAAAGTAGCCTATGAAGGATTGGTGTTTAAACGTTATAACACGTCTGAAAGCTGCTAAGGAAGGTATGATATCTGATTTTACAGGTATGAAATGTTGAACCTTAAAGGTTTCATTGAACCTGTAAAAATGATAAGCTTTCAACTGCCAATTTTTGTATTTCGTTTATTTCACCCTCTCCCAATAGAGCTGTCCAGTTGAATAATGATAGAACCTTTTTTTCCCCCTAGCAAAAGTGCTTGAATGGCGTATGTTGGGTACCTCCTCAAATATAACTGTTCACAATTGTTTAACATGAAGTGTTAATAAGCATTCTAGCTTTAAGTTTGTGATTAAGTTTGTGTTGTTGTTTTTTAATAAGTTTGGGGTCTTAATATTTATTTATTTATATTTTTAAATGAAGTGTCTTATGCTCACCAAGGCAGCATTTATTCGATCAAAAAATATAAAATACAGTAAAAACAGTAATTTGATAAACGTTAATACAATTTAAAATAACTGTCTATTTATTTATTTCAATATATTTCAAAATGTAATTTATTCCGGTGATGGCAAAGCTGATTTTTTTTTTAGCAGCCATTATTACTTCAGTCTTCTGTGTCACATGATCCTTCAGAAATCATTATAATTTGCTGATTTTAAACATTTCTTATTATTATCAGTGTTGAAAATTGTGCAGTCTAATGTTTTTGTGGAAACCGTGATTTTTTTTCAGGAGTATTTAATAAATAGAAAGATCAATGGATTATTATAAATGTCCTTACTGTCAGTTTTGATCTATTTTAATGCATCCTTGTTGAATAAAAGCATTCATTTCTTAATATATATCTATATATATATATATAGGCTATACTGTATATATATATTACTGACCCCAAACTTTTGAACGGTAGCATAATTCCTCAAACCCAGAAATCGTGCCTCTGGTCAATTTTCTGTTAGTATTTCAGTCACTACCCCAAAAATAACACAAGATGGCACTGTTGTTCTTAAAAAAAAAACTTCTGAATAAAGTAAACACTGCCTCATCCAACAGGAGATTTTGTTGGCATCATGGAGACTTGTTAAAACATGAGCTGAGCTTTAAAGACTGTACTGAACTTTTTCAGGAATTTTTTTATAAAATAATTCTAGCTTTTATGTAATAAAGTAATTATTTTATTTGTCTGACATCTGATACCAGGTAAAAACAAAACAGCAGGCTACAAAAGCATTTATTTCTACATAAATTCTACAAATACTCATTAAAAAAAAAAAAACAAGCTGGGATTGTAATTATCACAGTTAATGTATTGCAACATTAGTTTAAAAATGTATTTGTCCTAATATGTATGTCTGACTAAAGCAGAAAGATATGTGAACTTTGACCCTCACAATCTCTGAGTCTATAGACCAAGAAAGGCTGAGAGATCATGCAGATTGCCTGTTTCAGAGCTAATTGAAAGATAATAAACCAATCCAATTCTGTTTTGACTACCGGCAAAATATTGTGCAAGCCAGTGGAGTGAGGCAGGATTGAAAGAAGAAGAAAAAAGAGCTAAGATAAAGAGAGAGAGTATTAAAATAGAGAAGCGGTCACAGCATTTCCTCAGTGTGCCGTTCAGTGAACATCTGTGCTGAGGCGGTGAGCTCACCATGCAAACAGACTGCAGATTTATTCAACGGTAGTAGCCTTTCAAATAAACACGAGTACTGCTCTGCAGGCTGCAGGCCTTCTTTGATTTTCTCATGTATACATACACACACTGTAAAAAATTTCAAGCCGTTTCAACTAATTATTATTTAGTAACAAGTTCCACAGAAATTCTACATTCAGTCAATTTCTGTCTTCAAAGTGTTGCCTGAATTGTTATTTTTTAGTTGGCTCAACCTTTACTGAAATAGTTTTATAGTCCATTCAACTAAAAATATTTAATTGGTCAAACATTTAGAAAACTACAGCTTAATGCTTAATGTAATACAGCTTAGACTTAATGTAATATGTCCTCTCAACTAAGCCCAAGCAATAAAATTAGCTCAACTTAAATATTTTTGCCCTTACAACATTTTGTTAATTGGATTTTTTACAGTGAATTTATCTTCCAGAATCTGGCAGTAAGTTTTGGGAGATCATTTTTAGTCCATCTCGAAATTTTATCTGTAGAAGATAACCTGCTTAATATTTATGCACACCTGAATATAAGGCGTTTTTCACTTCCAGCCTTCATGAACAATAATATATGTGTGCTTACACAGTCTGTAACTTTTTTGTGATGGATTGATTGATTTGAGGAGCTCTGTGCAGAGCTTCATGTGGATGTATTATTGCCTGCTAGATGTTATAAGGTCGCTTTCTGAGGAAAAAGAGCTTGTCAAATGAATCATAAATTGTGCATAGCTGTAAAAGGTAGCCTACGTACTGTATAACTCAGCTTCCATCACACTGTAAAAAATGTCAAGCCGTTTCAACTAATTATTATTTAGTAACAAGTTCCACAGAAATTTTACATTCAGTCAATTTCTGTCTTCAAAGTGTTGCCTGAATTGTTATTTTTTAGTTGGCTCAACCTTTACTGAAATAGTTTTATAGTCCATTCAACTAAAAATATTTAATTGGTCAAACATTTAGAAAACTACAGCAAATTGTGTTAAAATTATTCAAATTTAACCATTCACTCCATGTGTTTCATATGTTACCTCAACTAAGATTTATTATTTGGGCATCCTAAGAATTTGCTGTATAACTAGTTATTATATTTTATACTGAGTTTAAGAATTATTACCTGGTGTCTATCAATCACTAAAACACACACATTACAACACACAATAGCCTTTATTTAATAACAATCTGCATTTATAACATTTGTCATACAGACTAAACATGCAGGCTTAAAGGGATAGTTCACCCAAAAATGAAAATTTGCTGTTAATTGACTCACCCTCAAGCCATCCAAGTAGTTAACTTTTTTTCTTCAATTGAACAGTAAAGGAAATTTTTAGGTGAAAACATTGTCTTTGAAAACATTGCAATTCATAAACTGCACGTCTCTGGCTGCCGGCTTTTGAGAGTCAAATAAACATATACAGACAAGACCA